TCATTCTTTGACTGCCATCTTCAAGAAAGAAAAAGAAAAGAAAAGAAAAGAAGGGATCAGGGGGATGAACTGCTGGGTTGAAGAAGACGCGACCGGTAGCTGTTTTTTGGAGACCGATCACAGCAATCGGTAGCTGCCGTTTGGGGACAGAAAATAGTAGCTGGTAGCTGCCCGTTGGAGACGACAAACAGCAGCCGAGGCTACCGGATTTGAAGTAGGAATCAATAGCCAAAAGCCATGGGTTAGAGACAGTTTTAGAAACAGCCGAGGCTGCCAGATTTGAAGCAGTCATGGCTGCTGTTTTTGGGCTCGAACAGAGCGTTATCGTTTGTTGTTGGGTTTGAAGAACAACTATGTGGTTGTTGTCGGGCACGACGAAAAACAGCAAGTTGCTGTTGGATCGTGCAGCAGTCAGAAAACACGGCAGCAAGCTGCTGTTTGATGCGCAGCAACGGTAACGAAGATAGCAGGTTGCTATTTGATCGCGCAGCTGTCGGAAACACAACAACAAACCGTTGTTTGGGCGCGCTGCTAGACTGTTGGTTCGCAATGAAGCAGTTGTGACTGCTGGTTGGGTTCGAGCAGTACGCGCAGCTGCTGTTTGAGCAGAAAACCGAAGCAGCAAAGCTGCTGTTTTGGAACGCAGCAAGCTGCTGGTCCGGAGAAGGGCAGCCAAGCTGCTGTTTCGGGCTCATGTCTGGAACTTGATCGGGATCATCCAGGGCTCATGTCTGGAACTTGATCGGGATCATCCATAGCTCCTGTTCTGAGACCATTCCTCTGCTACCTTTTAGTTTCAAGATTTTGGGATTTCTCCTAAACCCTCCAAGGTGAGTTCATACTAACCATTTAGAAGCTTTTTACCCAATGGAATGATATACTATACTTATCTTACACTAATGTTTAAATGATTACTTGTTGGATTTAAATAGAGAATTTTGGGTCAAAAAGTGAACTTGGGGATCTTGTTTATAATCACTAGATGAGTTTGGAAGAATGGACCTAACCACTTGGTAAAATACTTGTTTCGAAGTATGGTTGGACATAGAACTCTAGAACTCTTATGTTTCTACTTATGGGGTTAACCATCGGCAAATGGGAATGTTTCGTTTAATTCAGGACTCGTGCAAAATCTGAGCGGTGTGCAAACAATTATATCCTTACGTTAATATGTTTGAGTATATTACTAGAGTGTAATGGCTTGGTAGACACGGAAGTCGTTTTATTATACTTGTGTGAGGGATGGTATAAGTTGGAAATAGACATTGTGATTATTATGTAATCTCCAAATCACCTTCTCACCCACTCGGAAATAGG